TTTGAGAATGATGAGGGCAATGAATGTACAAATGTGCTTTACACAATTGATGTATGTATGGATTGTGATGAGTTGTATATAATAAAATGATTTAAAAAAAAGAAGAATAGCATCTGAGGTCTTCAAAGCTTATTTCCATGTAAGCAGCTTTCCAAGTGAGACATCCGCTAAATAGAAATGGATGAAGCACACCAATATCCATAATTTAAGGGTTGTAAATTATATAATCCAAATCCCAAGATGGGAATAGTATCAGAGTTGTGAGATTCTGGGGTGCAGAGGGATATGGATGACAGGGGGAGCCTGAAATAATTTCACAGGATCTATACAGAGAATAAAGCTCCCTGGACCCATCATTGAGGGATGGGACTCACCTTGTTATCAGACAGAGCGTGTTGGAGAGATGATGGTAGTAGATTACAATGATCAAGCTGACTTGAACGGTTCAAACTTTGTCACTTGATCTCCTCTCTGATACACTTTGTGCTTGAGCTGGTTTTAATATTTTGGGTTTTTTTCCTTCATATCTCTGTCATATTTTTTCATTATTGATAGCCTTCTTGATTCTTTGTTATGTGTTCTTTTATGGTTTTTTGGTTTATGAAACCCAGGATAGGTGAATCTATGCAGACAACAACTAGAATAAGGGGTATGGTAGGGGAGGTGGGGAGGTAAGGGGGAGCTGATATCATGGGGTTTAAGAAGGAAGGAAGAAGTATTTTGAAAAAAAAATAAATAAAGAAGTATTTTGAAACTGATTGTGGCAGCAATTATACAACATTGCTTGACATGATTGAACTATGGAATGGTATGATGTCTGGATTAGCTCTTAATAAAATGGTTTGGAAAATAAAGAAAAGGTTTTGAAAAAGATGATGGCAACAAATGTACTAATGTGCTTGATACAATGGATGTATGGATTGCTATAAGAGCTGTAAATGGCCCCAATAAAATTATTTATTTAAAAAAAACCAACAAAATAAAAACTACAGCCTTCAGTATGAAGTAAACATCAACTTAAAAAAAGAAAAATAGAAAACATTCTCATAACTAGGTCAGTAAGTGAGCAACTTTATGACAAAAAGAGAAAACAATTGAAGTTATCAAGGATTTCATTTTACTTGGGTACAGAATCAATGCTTGTGGAAGCAGCAGTTAAGAATCAAAAGACATTACTTTGGGAAAATCTTGTGCAAAAGACATCCAAGTGACCTTGAGGGCTCACATGTGCATGGTCCAAGCCATGGTATTTTCAATTTCTCCATAGATCGATGAACCTGAATAACGGATAAAGAAGACTGGAGAAGAATTGTTAGGGTTTCATTATGGTGCTGGAAAAGAATATTAGAAGTACCATGGAATGTCTGAAAAACAAAGCTGTCTTGGGAAAAGTACAGCCACATTTTCCTTGGAAATGAGAAAGCAAGACTTTGCCTCACACACTCTGGACAGCTTATTGGGAGGGACTAGTCCCTGGAGAAGGACATCAATGCTAGTTACAGTAGAAGGTCCACAAGAAAGAGGAAGACCCTCAATAAGATGGATTGACACAGTGGCTGCCACAAGTGGCTCAACTTCACAATGTTTGCGAGGATGGTGTAAGATCAGGTAGTGCTTAGTTAAGGTGGGTATGCGTCAGAACCAA